GGGTCACTGAAAGGGCAGACCTAGCACAATAGGCCACCTCCATTCCCAGATAACATACTCTTGCCAGATAACAGATGCAGTACTAAACCTGCAGGGTAATCCTACCTAAGTCTACACCGAAGAAGCCGCAATGTGTCCCATGGAACTCACAAAAATTGGGACTGGAATTGCCGTTGCTAAGCAATTAAAGCCTGACATCACATGACTGCATCTCTTAGTGACGGTGATCCCAGCAGTCCCCATCACCATCATAACCCCAGGATGGCACAGGCCATTAAGCGGAAAGAGGCAGGAGTCCCAGATAAGGAACATGGGGGGATGCCACAGGCAGGCACTGGGGAGTGCAGGCAGGCAGGCAGGCCAGCAGGTGGGCTGGCAAGGGTTGCAAACAGGTGCTGGGAAGCGGGGTGGGCCAGCAAGGGCAACAGGTGGGCACTGGGAAGTGTGAGTGGGTTGGTGAGGGCTGCAGGAGGGTGTGGGGGGTGCTACAGATCTTGTGGTCTGTAGTGGGGCTGTTTGGAAGAAAAAGTGGCAGGAGCAACTTGTGACCTTCCCTGCCAGCTTCCCCACTGATTTTGCTTGAGGAAAGCCAACAGGGAAGGTTGCAAATGCCAATCACATGACTGCGGCTTACTGTTACTTCATAATCATGAGCCGGGTGCCCGAGCACCCAGATTGAGATCACATGACCACGGGAATGCTGCAACAGCTGCAACTTCACAGACCAGTCACAAGTCCCCCTCATTCAGCGCCATCGTAATTTCGAATGGTCACTGAACAAGTGGTCATAACCCAAGGCCTACTTGTACATAGGATTGTTACCTAATTGATCCAATCAATGCCAAAAGCTGTAAAGATCTGCTCCCTTACTGCAGAAGAAAGCAATGATAATTCCTTTGGTCTGTCTTAATGGAGAAAGGAATGTCAAAAGACAGTAGGAGCTTCCCTTCCAAAAAAGTCCATTATTGATCTTATTCAGCCACAAAATGTGTAAGTGTTGAAGCAATAATCTGGCTCTTGAGCTGAATTCAGTTACATAATTCTGCCCGAAATACTCTAAGAACAAGGTGATCTCAGACAATACTTGTATCCATTGCAAAACAAATAAACTTTAATAATGAATGATGAGGTCTACTTCAAATTCTGCCATTTATAAAACTCCAGTTGTTGTTTCCTACAAGCAGCTTTTTCGGTGGTATTTTAGAACTATGGATTCTTAAATTTACTTTCCTTGCATCTTTTTGGAAGCAAGTGAAAAAAGCAGAGTTTCTCTGCTGTTATTTTAGTTTTATGATTTAAAATGTGAAATGTTTTGTCGGATCTTAAAACAGGTTTTTCCTCCTGTTTTCCCCTACTTAAAAATATACAGCTCCTGTACTACCCTTCAAATTAGTTATGCTTTCTAGTATTGCATGTTTGATTTTACAAAAAAAAAAACTTTTATTGCTGAATGATGTGAAGGACTATTAAACTACGTTCAGCTTTATCCAAAAGTGTAGATTTGGATCTTTGATACTGATAATCACCACCTTACATTCAGCAAGCTAACGTCAATTTCTTTGTGAAAGAAAGACAACACTGTGCTGTACTAAACAAAATACTAAAATTTAAAAAATAGAAAGGATACTTATGTACAGTAGACACTTGAAAAATTAGTACTTTTAGTATTCAATGTACACTTTGGTGTGCATTTAAAAAGTCCTCAGCTTTTGTTTGTCTAACTAATCAATTAAATATACATATATCTTTTCCCAGTAAAATAGTTCAGGAAAAAGACGCATACAGTCTTAGTCTTAAGCTTATGCAGCATCATAGCAGGCCCCATTAAAGCCTCTCCAGGTGAGAGAGAAGCCTTTAGCCACTTACGGATTTATGAGTATTTTGTTTAATTTGCCCTCTATGCAACAGATTAAATATAAACAATTTAAAAAGAATGTGATCACGTAACAAAACATTATAAACACAGAAGTTGCTTAAGAAATACAGGATGCAATATCAACAATATTATATCTGAAAATGTCCTATACTCTTGGAAACAATAACCTTTCCATCATACAGTACCTATGACAGAAAACATGTCTCTGGTCTGTCAGGAGTAATATAACCTTATACCTAGGATGTATTTGTTTTTAATGGTGCAAAGGACTTCTACACTTTATTTTAGAAGGTAATAATTAGCTGCTGTATCAGTGTTATTTGAGACATTTTCAGGTGAGAAAATAATTATAACGGTCACCATCCGTAGTCCAGAAAGTCTACCCATGAAAGCTGCTAACTCCATTCCTGTCCCTCTACTTTATTTATTTATTTAGCAAATTTATACAGCCACATCTCACTGAACGTGCCTCTGGGCAGCATACAACTAAAAATTAAAACAATATCACAAACGTTAAAACACTTACACCATAAACGTAATAAAAATAAATAAAAGCAAGACTGCAGGAGAAGAACATCCATCTAAACAGAGTACAGCCATCATGTAGGCTCCCCAAGGTTGCTGGAAGAACAACATGGAATTATACTGACCCACCACCTTATCCTTGCTTAGGTACTGCAGGAATGAATGGCTAAGCTGTATGATTTGTTAGAACTATGGTTTCCTGAACAAGTCACAGTGGCCTAGCTGTATGAACATGTAACCCATAAATTAACTAAAACATGGTTTACATGGTAAACTGACCAAACTGCTTGGGTTTGCACAACACAAAGAATCGTAAATGAATCACATGGCTGGATTCACACAATAAACTGAGCCATAAATCAATCGCCCTTAGCTTTATTAGGATTCACATAATAAACTGAGCCATAAATCAGACAATCACCATCTCCACTGGTTGGAGACTAGGCCAAAAACCAGATCATGGGCTTAATGTGATGATGATCAGATTGTATTAACTAGTCCTTTAATCTTTAAATGTAAAAGCAAGCTAAAAAGAACTCACACCAAATACTGTACAGAAGAGAGTACATTTATTTGGCCAATAAGAATTTCAGCCCAATTCTGTACCTCTAACATTGGATAAATGTCTTATGAACGTACTTCATTAATCTAAACTAGGATGTATTTACTAGATCTCCTTAGCTACAGATCTCCTGTACCTAAAGGCACATTTTAGGGATCAAAATATGGCTTGCATCATTTATGCAAGGCTTCCCAGAATCGCCAAGAAGTGTGTCTGGTGTAAGATGAGGAGAGACCCCCAATTTCCACTATTGCCTCCTTTACTTCAGAGCCCTTCCCTTTATATAACGAGGTTACTACCTGACGAGACTAGACACTTCCGCACACCTTAAACCCTTCAGCTCCTACCTACGCCTCATTCTCACGGCCAGTTAGACATCACACCACACGCTTATCCGTGGCGAGTTCAGCCACCACGGCTGACGAAATTAACCCAGGAAGTTCACAGAACACGCTGAGCGAAACTAAGCCGACCGGCTCGGTTCACAAAAAAGCTGGTTAGTTCGGGGGAGGGGAGGTTCGTTGGGTCGTGGGAATCCAGTCCGCAAAACCATGTCTTTTCTAGCCGGGCCACGGCTAAACTCCGGCGCGTCCTCTGCTCGGGAGTAAGCCTCGTGGAAGAATGCGGGATAGTCTTTCTCGGTGGACCCGACCTCACCTGCTGCTGCCTCCACCGCCGCTCGCGGGCTCAGGAGTACGACCCCGGACCCTCCGTCCGTCCTTCAGGTAGCAGCAGCCGGCAGGGCGAATCCCCCTTCTCTTCGGCGCGTTACCGCAGCCAACGGCCAGCAGCGATCCTTCCGAGTCGGCGCGTGGGGGAGGCGCAGCGGCCCCGCAGTCCCTCCTTCCACCTGCCCCGGGCGCCGCACGTAGCGACAGGCTGCGCTCGGCTACCGCGCGAGGTCCACCCGCGCCCTCCCCATTCGCCCGGGGGCGGAGCTCTGAAGCCGAGAGAGCGGGAGCGGCGAATTACTCGCCCCCGTTCCTACTGCCCTGATTGGCCCCTGACCGCTGGGGGTGGGAATCGAAGCTCGCTCCGCCTTCCGCAAGCGGGCGATCTGCTTGGTTGGAGGAGACGAACGTCAATCTGGAACTGATTGACGGCTGAAGCGGTTTTTACTACGCGCAGAAGCGTCGCTGAAAGAATGTTGGGCAGTGCGCGTGGAGTCGTGAGAACGGTGGTTGCTCAAGCGTGGAGTGATTTTTTTTTTTTTAATTGGGGCATTTCCTTATGCTACTTAGTTGTAGACACGAGAGCGTAAAGAGAAAAACATGTTAAATTAGGATAATATAACCCTGCATCTAGTTCCAAATGCTGTAACAACTTGCTGTTGAAGTTGTGGTGCGTTATTATTACGACATTAATAAGATTTTTTGAGCTACTTTTCATGGGTAAACACGACCCCATAGAATAATCTGATCCTAAGTTACCATGAAAACAAAAGACATGGCTGTGGTTGTACAGGAAAAAAAACAAACGGAAGGATGTTGTTCAACTGCGTCGAGCTTCTCTATGAGAGGTGGGGTATAAACCCCATAAATACATTTGAGAAGCCTGAAGCTGAATCATCTTTTCACAAATCCAGCAGCCTCTCCAAGCTGGTAGAATAAATGCTGTAGCACATCCTACTGGCAACCCTAGAGAGATCTAGGACTTACCGCTAGCAGATCTGAGCTGCCTAAATTTGGATGATAATTACAGGGCAGCAAAGAGTGTTTTCTGAATCCCTTTGCTGTGATCTGGTGGTTGTCTGGATTTTTGCAGTCCAGATATAGTAGCCTCAGATCAACAGGTAGCATGTCTGGGCAAAAGGTTTCATACCAGGCCAAAAAGATAATAAAATAACAGTCAAGCTTTTATGGGGAAGGAATCCCATAAACTGGAAAGTATAGAAGAGGTGTTTCCTTCTTCTATGGATACAATGTCAAGAACAGCCTCGCCTGTAAATATTTAGGCAGAAGCAGAATAATATAAAGAGAGGTGACCTGTGGGGCATCTCGTTCCATCAGTGATAGGACGTTAAATGTTAGCCACAGCTCAGTAGTCAGTGCGGTTTTCTGAGGCTCAGTAAATATACCAGGCTGTTCCCCTTTTGGTTTTAGCAACCACAACAAATTGAAGTTTATTAAGTAGCCCACTAAAGATTACAGTGAGGAGGTTATTGGAGTATGGATGATTAAGATCCAGCTGTCCTTTCATTTATTTGTTTGTTTGTTATTCAAATTTATATATTTATAATAGAAATGGTTATAGCTGATGAAACATCAGTAACTAACAAAAGCACTTCTTACCACCTAGGCCAATAAGTTCTCAAGAGACACAGCTGGATTAAGGAAAGTTTCCAAATTGCACACCTGTTCTTTCCTGAAGAAAGAATAGAATTTGACTCCAACAAAAACTGCATGTCAAAAAGTGGATTTTGCCTTAGCATGTTTTGTAAATCCAGCCTGCGGTGGCTCATTCAACAGTCAAACCACAATTAAACAACTGTGGTTTAGGCCAGTGTATCAGTGTATCAGTCCAGTTTAGGGAATGCGTGGCATTTTCTTATGTAGTCATTCATTCATTGTGGTTATTTGCTTTAGTGAGAATCTGCAAGAATAAAGGTTTTGGCTTGGGCAAATTTCATTCTACTTTGTCAAGGTGGGCAGCTGTGTGTGTTTCAGTCTGAAGTTTGGGGAAAAGACTATTATGCTGGTTATAAGCATTGCTACAGCTAACACAGTGACTAAGCAGGATAGAAACAGCTAAATGAACTACTGCCTGTCTCAGTTATTGTGAAATATATTACTGTATATCCAATCAGATGCCACACTTTTAACTATCCATGTGATTTATTTATTAATATACAGATAAGCAAGTAGCTGTCAAAAAATGAGTTCAGATCAATGAGTTGATACAATGCAGTAGAAATCTTACGCATAAGAGATCTTAAAATGCTATTCGATTTTCTTTGAGAGAACTTTACCTTGTCAGACTATTCTAAATGAATTGCAATAAAAAAGTCAATCGATAGTCTTAAGCACGTATATATGTTGAAACTGAACTTCACTTCAGCTTATTTGTAAGCCATGTTACAATATATAAAGGGTCGATAATGCATGGTTCCAAGTAAAATCAATAAGATGAAATAATAACTATTAATCCTTAGCATGGAAAAATCCTATCAGTGATAATATCATCACATACTACTAAGAATCAAAGATATTTAGAGAAGACTGTCTGGGAATTTAAGGTGCAATTGTAATTCAATTATATTGTGTTGAATGACTTCTATGTCCAAGAGCTCTGGGTGGCCCATGACATCATCCACACCATTTTTCCCCACCATAATAACCCTATGAGGTAGATTGGGCTGAGAATAGCGAGTAGATTAAAGTCACCCAGTGAGCTTCCATAGCTGAGAGTAGACCTGAACCAGGATCTCTTCAGTACTAGTCCAACACCATAACCATTATACCACATTAGTAAATTCAGGCCACAATATGGTATTTCCAACTCTTGTTTGGATTACTGCAATGTGCTCTACAGGGGACTGCCCTTGAGTATTCAGAAGCTTCACCTGGTGCAAAATGTGGTGGCGCAGGCAGTTATGGGTGCTGGTCGCTTAGCACATGCGACACCTCTGCTCCACAAGCTGCATAGGCTACCAGTATGCTTCTGGGTGCAATTCAAGCTGAGAGTGGTTATCTTTAAAGCCCTTCAAGGCTTGGGCCGGGCTACCTATGGGACCGTCTCACCCCAGTGGGGTCTACCCATCCTGTGAGATCTGGCAGGAGAGGCATGCTATGGGTCCCATCTGTGAGAGTGCCATCAGAGGCCCCAGTTTCCAGCTGCTGCTTTTAAATGCAAGATTGGTCTGTAATAAGGCCTCCCTCATCAGCAATCTAATCATCAATGAGAGGGCCATCCTGGCATTTATTACCAAGACCTGGGTGGGCCCGGAAGGGGGGTGGCCCTTTCAGAGATATGCCACCTGGATTCTGGGTATGGCATCAGCCTGAGCAAGATGAAAGAGAGAAGAGACATCTAGAATGTCGCTGGCACTCAACAAAGGACAAACTTGACTGAACACGGGTTAGAGCTGCTATTAAGTCTTACCTTGTGGCAATAATGCAGTGAAGCATCAGTACTTCACCCTTATTGCGTCCATGGATTGCTGCCCTGCAGCCCTGTTTTGGGTGACACATGCCCTCTTGGGTAGAGGGGGCTTAGATATCCTCTTGCAGGGGTGTGCGGAAGAATTTGTTCAGCATCTATCAGACAACATTGCTTGAATTCATTTGGAGTTGGACACTGGCCTTGTTGTAGGTCTGGGGGAGATGCCTCAGGAGTTATCTGGGATCAGTTTGAACCTGTTGGGCCTGAGGAAGTGGAGAGGGACCTTAGGAGTGTGAGCTCAGCCACCTGACCTTTAGATCCATGCCCCTTCTGGCTTGTTAAGAGTAGCCCAGGGGAGGTTATGTGAGTGGGTTCTAGCGGTCGTGAATTCTTCCTTGAGTGAGGGAGTTGTTCCTTTACCTCTTAAAGAGGACTTGGTTCACCCCCTCCTCAAGAAGTCATTGTTGGACCCCACTATACTGGACAATTTTTGTCCAGTATCTAACCTCTCCTTTCTGGGGAAGGTGGTTGAGAAGGTGGTTGCACAGCAGCTTCAGAGGACCTTGGATGAAGCAGATTATCTGGATCTCTTTCAGTTGGGATTCAGACCTGGGTATGGGATGGAAACGGCAGATCATGCTTCTGGATGATCTCTGGTGAGGGTGGGATGGGGTTGTGCATCCATCCTTGCCCTACTTGACATCTCTGCAACTTTCAGTACCATCAACCATGGTATCCTTCTGGATCAGCTCAGAGGATTGGGGGTGGGCAGCATGGTGTTGTGCTGGTTCACTTCTTTTCTCCATGGTTGGTTCCAGTCGGTGGTGATTGGGAAGGAGAGATCCCGCCCCTGGCACCTACTATGTGGGGTGCCACAGGATTCAGTGCTCTCTCCACTCCTATTCAACATCTACATGAGGCCACTCAGTGAGATCATCTATCACCATGGGGTGAATTATCATCAGTACACTAATGATACCCAATTATACATCTCTGCCTTTAGTGAATTAAGCAATGCTATGGGCATCTTATCCTGGTGTCTGGAGGCTGTGAGGGTCTGGATGGGGAACAACAGGCTTCGGCTGAACCCTGGCAAGACTGAGCAGCTTTGGGTTTTAGGGGCCTGCTGGTTCCAGGACAATGCCATCTTTGGTGCTGGATGGGGTTGTACAGCCCCAGTGCACAATCTGGGGGTCCTCCTGGACTTAGGACTCTTGCTCAAAGAGCAGGTGATGGTCGTGGCTAGGAGGGCCTTTGCACAGGTTCCTGCTGTGTGACAGTTGCACCTGTTCCTGAATTGGGGGGCTCTGCTCACAGTCACTCATGCCCTAATCACCTCCCGACTGGATTACTGTAATGCGCTGTACATGGGGCTGCCCTTGAAGAGTATCCGGAAGCTTCAGCTGGTGCGAAATGTAGTGGTGTGGGCAGTTATATGTGCTTCTAGAACAGCTCATGTTACACCTCTGCTCCGTGAGCTGCATTGATTGCCAGTCTGCTTCCGGGTCCAATTCAAAGTGCTGGTTTTGACCCTTAAAGTCCTTCATGGCCTTGGGCCAGGTTATCTGAGGGACCTTCTCTCCCCGATTACTTCTGCCCGTCTCATCAGGTCCGGGAAGAGAGACATGCTACAGGTCCCATCAGTCAGGGAACTACACGTGGTGACCCAGGGAGGCAGGCCTTCTCTGCCATGGCACCTGCCTCATGGAACATTTTCCTCCCCAAAGTGAGGCGAGGTCAGCTCCATCCCTCCTTATTTTCCAGAAGTCCCTCAAGATCTGGCTATGTCATCAGGCCTGGGGGTCTCAGTGGA